AATTTTAAATCAAAAATCAAAAATTATTTTTAATATAAAATTTTATTTTTAAAAAAAATTATAATTATTACTTAATAATAATTTTTTATCTTATACTCTTACCGAAGAGAATAGACAAGCCCTCCAAGCAAAGATGCAATCTGGAGAGCACATGTGATGACACTACAGACAAAGCGCATTTGGTGCAATCATTTTTTTTTTTTTTTAGGAAATTAGTGCAATCATTTTGTTACAAGAAAATGAAAAGAGAGCCAAGGAAATGATAGCAGAAGCTAGAGAGCTTGTTCTACATTGAATAATTTCGCCAATTTTTGCCGTTGATTTAGGTTCTATTTTCTACATTACCAAGATTAGAAGCAGTGAGATATTAAACTTTGGCTTCTGCTCCACTTCCTCCACTGAAAATAGAGGCACCATACTTCTGCTCGAAGGCACCTGCAGAGGTTAACATCAAAAGTATAACACAGAATTAAATTATGTTTTGAGTTTCAAAAAGTAAGGGTAGAATTAAGAAATTTATTCACATTAAGGATTATCAGCTTTACGAAGTAAATACTTGTAATCTACTGCCCAGAGCTAGCATTTCCTTCTCCACTTCAGTCCAAATGCATCCTCAAAATGCATGGTGTCAAGAAGATAAACTCTGGCTTGCTTGACAGATGTACCAGATAAAAATTAGTTAGACAAAATTCAGATTAATGAAGACAATAGGAAAATGGCATGCTAGTTAGAATATATATACCTTAGCTACTTTTGGAAGGGTAAGAACTAAAAATGACACTGTAACATTATGGCACCATTTTGCCATTTGTTTATGATTATTACATCATCAACTCTGTATAGATCCAAAATCTAAATAGGGATTATTGATTTTGTTCATTAAAGGCGATTTCAAAGCAAGCAGGTCTTACCATGTGCCTGGTATATGTTGTGTCTTCACCAATATAAAAATGCTTGTTTAGAAAGGAACAAGCTCATAAGAACTATCTTTCCCACATCATTTGCCAGTCATAGGAAATTCTGCTCTGCTCTAAAAAGTGATTGAATATCAGAATACATTTTCAAACAAAGCTTTTGTGATAGGAATTTTGCTCCAGTAAAAAGAGAGAGCAATCAAATACGTGTTTGGATTGTGTTAATTAGTAGCAATCCAGTAGCTTCTCATCACCAGCATGCTTTTCTAACACAACACCAATGGCACAAACATCAGCCTGCCCACAGATGAATGTAACACACATGCCTATATCCAAGGATGGCCATTACAATTTTCTTTTGAAATAGGCATGATCATTGATGAAGTTTAGCCATAAGTTCAATTAAAAAAAATATGAATCAAAATACTATATTGTAGTATTATACTATCACTAGTAAGGTTCAAGACAAAGATAAATAGCAATATCTCAGAATTTCAGCAAAAAATGCTTATTACAAGAAAAGCAAAGATGCAGATGCAGCAAAAGAAATACCAAAGGAAATAAGATAGATCCTTACACAGGTTTGAAAGACAAAATTACACAGATAAGAAACAAACAGTTCCACTTAGAATATGAACATATTTAAACGCACAGCACAGAAAAAAAAAAAAAAGGGAAGAAGAAGAAAAGAAAAACAAAAAACAGCAAGCGTATCTATATTAAATTGAAAACCCAACAACAATAACAAGTGGAAGCAAATGTGATTTCCTCCAGCTTTCTTGTGGTAACAGAGTCCAGCTCCAACTTTGCTGCCAATGGGGAGAAGAAACAAAAGATATTAAAAAGAAAAGACAAGAGTGAGAGAGAGAGATTTGTTGAGATAGAAAGGAAGAAGGAAAGCATAAAAAGTGAAAACTCCTACTGAGTTGAATCAGAATCAGAAATGGAAACTTGAAGCTTAAAAGGCTTACATTTGCACCGCCCAATCACCAAAGAGCCTGCATTCCTTTGCTTCTTAGCCCATCCTAAGAGATTCTTCTTCTTCATCATCATTGTTGTCATCATCAGACATTTCTTCTTCTTCTTCTTCTTCATCATTGTTGTCGTCATCAGACATTTCTTCTTCTTCTTCTTCTTCATCATCATCATCGTTGTCGTCACCAGACACTTCTTCTTCTTCTTCAAAGTCAGAGTTGCTGTCATCATGAAAATTTACAGAAGGTAGAAAGGCATCCTTTGCATTGGATTGGTCCCATTCCAATGATTCCCAACGTTCTTTTGTGTCTATTTGAATTTGTTTGAGGGAAGGAGGCTGGCTATTGTCGAGCGAGGAAAGATGCAGAGGAATCCTCTTTAGCTTCTCACAGTTTTCAATCTCCAGACTCTTGATGGAATCACAAATCAACACATTGGAACTGCCACAGATGCTCTTCAATTTGGGCAAATCCCTCAATTCTAACCATTGTAAGTTGGGTAGAGTGATTTTTTCTAGGGCTTCTTTTTCTTCATAGGTTGATGATGATATCAGCTCCTCCATTTGGTAACAGCCTTCAACTTCAATAGTCTCTAGAGATTGGAAGTAGCCAAGCAACAATCCAGATGAGAATATTTTCTTTAATTTAGGGCACCATACCACATCAATTGTTTTAAGAGAGAAAAAGTTGGTGGGACGGGCCGATAAACCAAGAACTTCTTCATCAAACACGGATTTCAGATTCTTTAAGCACCGAAGCTCTAGACGCTCAAGGGTTGGAAGGGGGTTAAACCCCGTCCAAAATACTTTCTTTAATTTAGGGCACCATTCCACATCAATTCTTTTAAGAGAGAAAAAGTTGGTGGGACGAGCCGATAAACCAAGAACTTCTTCATCAAACACGGATTTCAGATTCTTTAAGTG